CACATCCCACCCCCCTGGGCTCCCACCCCTCTCCAGCTGCAGTGACCAGGGGGGCTCTTTGCCCTCTCACTGGGACACAGACCCACCCCGGGGGGCAGTGGTGGCTTTCCCAGGCCAGGTGGCGTTCCCTGATGGCGTTGTCCCTCCCCTCAGCATTAAAGACTGTAAATGGCAGGAGAAGAACATAGTTGTGATGGAAGAAGTCGTCATTGCCCCTCCGTACCAGGTGGAAAACTGTAAAGGCAAAGAGGGAAGCGCCCTGAGCCACGTACGCAAAATAGTGAGTGTGGGCTGGGGGGGGACACGTCCCTGGGGACACCCAGGAGCCCGTCCTGGCCGTCCCCCTGCCCTCCTCCCTCCAGCTGTGTGTTCAGAACAGTGAGGAGGGGACAGGCAGGGCGGGTGTCACCTCCCTGGGGACACCCCAGCCCTTCCCGGGGCTCCGCAGCCCCCCTTGGGCACCGTTCCTCCCCTAAATCCCCCCTTCCCCTGCAGGTGGAGAAACACTTTCGGGACGTGGAGAGCCAGAAGGTCCTGCAGCGTTCACAAGCACAGCAGACACAGAAGGACACGTCCCTCTCATCCTGAGGCCACCTCGGGCTCACCCCGTCCCCGTGTCCCCTCCCCGGAGGTGGCACTGGGGGCACCTTCAACTTTTATTTCCTTTTTTTTTTTTTTTTTTTTTTTTTTTTTTTTTCTCTCTCTCTCTCTCTCTCTTGGGAATCTCAACCAATTCCAAACTTTAGACTTTAAAACAAACGAGAAAAAGAAAAAAGAATAATTTAAAGCTCCTCACGCATTACTTGACTAACAGACTTTGTTTTTCCGCCATGGTTTCTCCCTCCAGCCAGTCAGACTCTGTTAATTTTATTTTTTGGACTTTTTTTTTCCTTTTCCTCCCAATTCCTGCCTCCCTGTTCCCCAAAATGCCCCCCAGAAAATAAAGTTAACGAGCTGACTGTGGTGGCCCACCCGGGACCCTTGTGACCTACGTGGTCTCGTTTTAATTTTCTTTGCACAGGGCAAGGCTTGAATTAGTCTTATTTTTCTTATCTTTAAATATATATATGAATATATATTAAAATGTTCTTTAAATATTTGTCTGCTTCTAGCAGGGTCGTGGCAAAAAATCCCTCTAACCTGCCCTGGGAGCAGCCAGAACCTGGATTTGGGGTTTTCTCCCCATTTCCTTTATGTTTTTAAATTCTTTTTTGCCCTTTTTCATTTAATTTTTCATTTCTTTTTTAATTTTAATTTTTTTTTTTTTTGCCACGATCCTCCCCCCTCTCCGTTTTATTTCCTTTCTTTTTTTTTTTTATTATTATTAA